ATATATTATAAGATTTAATGCCTAGCATAGTACCTAGCATGGTATCTAGTGCTTGATAGCTTCTCCGTTTATGATCACAAATGAACATAGGTCAACACCTTAGAGATATTATAATAACATAGTTATGTACACCTCTTTATCACCAATATTCACCTTTTCTTTCTTCACGTTAGATGAAGCACTTCGGGGTCTGCTGGCTTTTGGGTTTATTGTGTCTTTAACTTGGGGCTAGGCTGTTATCTGGGGTAGTCACTCCTGTCCCATTTGTTTTCACTGTTTAAAGTGGCCTGATAATGAAACTGACCAAAGAGAGAATGAACCTTTAAAATGAGCTATGCTCTTGTTGCTTGCTAGACTGGAGAGACCTCTTCGGTGCTGGGTCAGAATGGGCATCACCTGAGTTACTGGCAGAACCAAAGGGCAGTGTGCAAGTCAGCCTCTGGGCTAGGAAACCAGGACAGCTGGGTTCTCATTCAGTGGGTGATTTTGGAAACAGCATATTTCCCCAAGTTCCTACAGTTCACCCACCAAAATTATACTAAGTACTTATTTCAAAACTGGCCTAAGTGGTGAGTGAAAAGGTTACGTTTTCCCACAAGTAGCTGACAGTATAATGGGGCAAAAAGACATTTCACAGTAAATGCCACTTCATTATCGTTCTTCCACCACCCCTGCCAGCTCTAAGCTGCACCCTTACCCTCTGTTGGTGCTGTCATCTCTGTGAGTGATAGTTCTTCCTTGAAGGTTTTAGCTCCTGGTTCACTGGCACTCTTTCTAGCACTACTTCTGGTGATGTCCTGTGGTTTCAACATTAATAAAGATGATATGTTCAGTGCCCTGGTCTCTCAGGTCCTTGCCCTATTCCTTTCAGTGACTTGACCTCACCACTGTAATAAGTAGAACTTTAGGTCCCTAACTCCTTCCCAAGGACCTCCAACTTAAGCATCTCATTCTCTGACCCCTGTCTCCTATCTTTGCAGCCACTGGTATTGCCCCAGATCTGATTCTGTTTCCCTCTCTGGCTTTATACTCCACTGACCCTACCACTGTTTCACTGGCCTCTACCACCTCTTGGCTCCAGCACACCACTCTGTGCATCTGTGTTCCATCATGAAAATCATCCCATGTTTACACACAATTCTCTTGCTTCCTTTCCCTATGGGTTTTTTTTTTTTTTTTCCCCAGCTGTCCTGGAACTCTCTATGTAGACCAGGCTGGCCTTGAACTCACAGAGATCCACCTGCCTCTGCCTCCCAAGTGCTGGGATTAAAGGTGTGCGCCACCATGCCCAGCTCCTTATGTTTTATTCACAAGACAAAAGTTCAGTCTTTGTTATAAAATCATCTGCCTCCTCCATGAGTTCAAGGCCAGCCTGGTCTACATAGTGAGTTCCAGGACAGCTGGGGCTACAGGGAAACCCTGTCTCAAAAAGACCAAAAACTAAAGAAATCTTTTGTAAAAATTCCATTTATTGTTTTTTATTTTATGTGTATAAATGTGTTGCCTGCATATTATAAGTGCATCCATATTGTGCAATGCCTGCAGAGGTCAGAAGAGAATGTCAGATCCCCTGGAACTGGAGTTACAGTTGTTAGCTGCCATGTGGGTACTGGGAATTGAACTCGGGTCCTTTGCAAGAGCAGTCAGTGCTCTTAACTGCTGAACCATCACTCCAGCCTATAATAAAAAAAGTCTTTAAAAATCCAATGCCTAGGCTCTGCCCAACCCCATTTAAGTAATTAAATCTGGGGAAGAAACCCAGGGTTCATCAGTATTTTTTTTTTAAGCTACTGTATAATTTTAGTGTACAGCCTAATTTTAGAGTTAGAACTTACTTGACATGTTTTTTCTTTCCACAAATCTTTAACAACTTGTCCCCAGTATTTTCAATTAGCAGTTCTCATTCCTGAATAAAAACTTGAGAAAATCAAAGGCATCACTACCTCCCTCTGCCTACCTACATGTGTCCTGGTGTGAAGGTGGGATGAACTGTCTCCTTACCCAAGCCTGGCTCTCCCACCTGTTTAGTAGATGCTGTCCCCTGTTCTGGCCTTTTTACTTTACATTGCCGTACCTACTACCCACCCCATGTTTTTGCTCCCCTTCACAGTAAAATGCCAACATCATTGCCTACACGTACCATCTCCCATTTCCTGTTCGGTAGAAGGTGTCTTCTCTACTGCATCCTCCTGAAATAGCTCTAGTGAAAGTTGCCAGTGACCTTTATGCTGTTTGAAGCCAGTGGTCAGTTTCAGGCCCTATCTCTCTGGACCCATTATCACCATTTACCAGTTTCTCAGTCCTCTTTTTCATTTTTTTTTTTTTTTTTTTTTTTTTTTGGTCTTTTGAGACAGGTAGCCCCAGCTGTCCTGGAACTCACTATGTAGACCAGGCTGGCCTTGAACTCACAGAGATCTGCCTGCTTCTGCCTCCCGAGTGCTGGGATTAAAGGCATGCACCACCATACCCAGCTCCTTGTTCTTTTAAAAAAAAATTATTATTTTAATTTTATGAGTATGAGTGTGTTGCCTGCATGTCTGTCAGTGCCCCCATGTCATGCAATGCCTCAGAGGTCAGAGGAGGGTTTCAGATTCTCCTGGAACTGGAGTTTAGGATGGTTCTTAGCTGCCATATGGGTACTGGGAGTCGAACCGGGGTCCTCTGCAAGAGCAGTCTGTTGTCTTAACCGCTGAGCCATTTCTCCAGCCCCCTTTCACTTGTTCTAAGACACTGTTCTCTCCTGGGTTTCCCCCTCCCTCACTGACTGTTCCTTCTTTAGTTCTTATGCTGGAGCCTTACCTCCTTTCTAGACCCTACTGGTTGATGGGCTCCATCCTCAGCTCTCATCTCCACCTGTGCTTCTCCACAGGCAGTCCCCTTGGTCTCACACCTGGGAATACTGCCCTTATACGTCCATCTCCACATCTCCAATTTATATGAATCCTGATCTCACTTCCCATCTGTAGATGCACACATCTCCTGCTTGGTTGACTCTTGCAGCAGTGTCCAACTTAAGACTTAACTAGTCAGAAGCCTAGCTCCTTATTTAAGCTCCCATAACCCCAACAGGTCTGTACTTCCCACTTTACTATGTGGTAATTCTTTTCTAGTTACTTAACCAAAATCCTGGTTCTCCTTTACCCCACAGGCACTCTTCAATGCCATCATCCCTGATCACCATGCAGATGCCTTTTCTCCTCCCCGCCTGGCCCCCTCGGGCTCTGTGGATCGGCTTGTGGAAGGTCTTCTGGGTGGTCTCTCTCGGTGGGATGCTGAACACTTCCTATTCATTGCCGAGCATGGCTACCTCTATGAGCACAATTTTGCCTTCTTCCCTGGCTTCCCCTGGGCCCTCCTGGTGGGGACTGAGCTGTTGAGACCCTTGCAGGGCCTACTGAGCCGGCGAAGTTGCCTACTGATCTCAGTAGCATTTCTCAACTCCCTGTTCTCCATGCTGGCGGCAGTTGCCCTCCATGACTTGGGTTGTCTGGTTTTGCATTGTCCCCGCCAGGCCTTTTATGCAGCACTGCTCTTCTGCCTCAGCCCTGCCAATGTTTTCCTGGCAGCCGGTTACTCAGAAGCTTTGTTTGCCTTCCTGACATTCAGCGCCATGGGGCAGCTGGAGAGGGGCCGAGGCTGGGCTAGCGGGCTCCTCTTTACTCTTGCCACTGGGGTACGTTCCAATGGGCTTGTCAACGTCGGCTTCCTCCTGCATTCTCAGTGCCGAGAATTTCTTTCCTCTCTTGTGGTGCTGAACCCCCTGAAACAGCTCATCAAGCTGATGACCTCATTCTGCCTGTCACTGCTCACAGTCAGCCTTCCCTTTGCTGTTTTTCAGTATTATGCCTATACCCAGTTTTGTCTGCCAGGCTCAGCCCACTCCATTCCTGAGACCTTAAAGCAGTTCGCTGTGGACAGAGGGTACCGGATTGCAAAAGGAAATGAACCACCATGGTGCTCCTGGGATCTTCCTCTGATATACAGCTATATCCAGGATGTCTACTGGAATGTTGGATTTCTGAGGTACTTTGAGCTCAGGCAGGTGCCCAATTTTCTCCTGGCTATACCAGTGGCCATACTAGTTGTGTGGGCAGCCTGGACATATGTGACTGCCCACCCTTGGTTCTGCCTTACACTTGGACTGCAAAGGAGCAAGGACAGTAAGATCCTGGAGAAACCCCATCCTGGCTTCCTCAGTCCACAGGTGTTTGTGTACCTGGTTCACGCTACAGTGCTGCTGCTGTTTGGTGGTCTGTGCATGCATGTTCAGGTGAGGTGGAGTCCTGCCTGGAATAAATATGGGAATACAGGCAAAACCCCAGCTAGGGGAGAAAACTAGCTTTTCCCATTTGGGGGACCCATACCTACTTTCTCCAAGAGCTATTTGGATAATCAGATACGGTTGGACACACCTGTAATTCTAAGAATTAGGAGGAGGAAGAGGCAGGGGGATCTTGAGTTGAAAGCTAGCCTTGACTACAAAGCAAGTTCCAGACTATCTTGAGCTAAATAGCTGTATCTTGTCACAAAACCATATGGGTTTTTTTTGCTTTGTTTTGTTTTGGTTTTGGTTTTGTTTTATTTTGAGATGAGGTCTCATTATGTAGCCCTGGGGGCCTGAAACTCATGTAGACTAGGCTGATTTTCAATTCACAGATATCCACCTGTCTCTCCCTTCCAAGTGCTGGGATTAAAAGCATGTGCCACCAAACCTGACTGTTTGGGAGTTTTCCTTGTGCCAGAATCTGAATTAGACCTCTGAGGATGGGATACAAGTAAGATAAAATGTATTGCCATAGTGAGTCTCATGGTATAAGCAGGGAGACATATTAGGTAAAATCAGGGCTAGGGATGTAACTCTTTTGGTAGAGTGCTTGCCTAGCATACATGAAGTTCTGGGTTCAACCCTAGCACTGCATAAAACTGCCTGTAATCCTAGCCCTCGGGAGGTAGAGGAGAGGGATCAGAAGATCATCAAGGTCATCCTTGGCTACATAGCAAGTTTGAAACTAACCTGAGCTACATGAGTCCCTGCCTCAAAAAAAAAATTAAAATTACAGTTATTGCTATTATGAAATTAAAAAAAAAAAATCTAGCCAGATATGGTGGTGCAGGCCTGCAATCCCAGCACTTGGGAGGCAGAGGCAGGAAGAGTATTGCAAGTTCTAGGCCTGCCAGAGCTACATAACGAGACCCTGTTTCAAGAAACCAAATAAATGTTCAGGTAAAATACTGCAGCTATATTGATAATATAGCTTGGTGATAGAGCATGTGCCTAATACGTGAAAGGCCATAAAAGGAAGTGGGGGGGGGGATGGTGGCTTAGCAGGTAAAGGTGCATGCTACCAGGTCGGATGACCTGAGTTCAGTCCCTGGAATCCACCTGATAGAAGGAGCGAACTGACTGTACACATACACACACACACACACACACACACACACACACACACACACTAAATGTGAAAAGAAAACTATTATGGAAGCAAAAAATAGCTAACTCACTAAAGGAGGAAGATATATTTAACTGGTCATGAAGATTAAAACATTTTTCCATGAGCCAGGCTTTAATCCCAGCATTTAGGAGGCAGAGGCAGGTGGATCTCTGTGAGTTCAAGGCCAGCCTGGGAGTTCCAGGCCAGCTGGGTCTACAGGGAGACCCTGTCTCAAAAAGACCAAAAAAAATTATTTTTTCCGTAGAAGCAAATGGGGGTAGGGAGATGGCTGAGTTGGTAAAGTGCTTACAGCTCAAGCATGAGGACCTGAGGTCAGATCTTCAGCTTACTTAGCACCCATGTAAATCAACATCTGTGATCCCAGTGCTGGAGAGGATCACTGGGGTTTGCTGCCAGCTGGTCTAGCCAATCATCAAACTCCGGGTTCAGTGACTGTCTCAAAAAATAAGATATATGGGCTGGGCGTGGTGGCACATGCTTTTAATCCCAGCACTTGGGAGGCAGAGGCAGGTGGATCTTTGTGAGTTCAAGGCCAGCCTGGTCTACACAGTGAGTTCCAGGACACCTGAGGCTACAAGGAGACCCTGTCTCAAAAAGACAAAAAAATACACAAAAGACAAAGTGAGGATATATATTATATAAGAGATATATGGCTCAGTGGTTAAGAGAACCTGAGTTTGCTCCCAGCACCAATGTCAGACAGTTCATGGCCATCTATAAGTCCAATACCAGGGAATCTGACTTTCTTCTGGTCTTCACAGATACCTGAATATGTGGTATATTGTACATGGTGCACATACATACACTTAGGCACACACACAAACACATACATAGAAGTAAAATCTTTTTAAAAGTGGGGGCCTGGACCAGTCTGTTCTACATAGTAAGTTCCAGGCCAGCTGGGGCTACAGGGAGACCCTGTCTCAAAAAGGCCAAAAAAAGGGGGGGTGCCTGGAGAGATGACTGGTTAAGAGCTCTGGCTGCTCTTGCAGGGGACATACATTTGATTACAAGCACCCACTTGGTGGCTAACAATGTGGGTAACTCCAGTTCCTTGGAATCCTTTGCCCTCTTCTGGCCTCTGTGGGCATTGCATACACAGTGCACTTACATGTAGGTAAAACAATCATAAAATTTAAATAAATTGGGGGCATTTGAGGAAGAACCCAAAATAACCTCTTGCTTGCATGTACATGTACACACACATGGACTCACACACAAAGGCTGCAGCAGAAGTTAGCATGGTGGCACATGCCTGTAATTTTAACACTTGAGATGTAGAGATAGGACGATCAGGAGTTCAAAGCCAGCCTCATATTCATAAGAGAGTTCAAGTCCAACCTGAGCTACACAAAACCTTTATTCTCAAACAAAAAGAAGCATAGGAGAACATTCTAGGTGGGGTGGGGGGGGTTCTAGGTAGAGACATGAAGATTATGAGATGTAGAAATAAATAATGTCAGTTCCTTAGGGACCGTACCCTACTGCACAGATCTGCCCATGTTGCCTCTTAGAGTACCTGGAGCTCAGGCAGGAGACATTTGTACAGTGTTTGGGTGGTGGTGGCAATACAAAAGGATAAGGAGGGGTGGATCTTATGTCCCAACTTTTCACACTTGGCTGTGGCACCCAGTTTCAACATTCCCCAAGGAAATCTTGTTCCCATGCCTACCTGTCTGCCTCTTGGACACTAACAATTTGTGAAGTTCTCTGAGCTATATGGTAAAAGGAAACTGAAAACAGTCATCTGTGTGTGACTGAATCAGCTGGCAGACTGAGTGCCAGTCAAGCACAAGTTTCCAGGGTAGGTGAGGGTGCTTTGAAACTGAAGCCCTTTGAGATTGGAAAGGCTAAACCAGGATCTGCCTCTCCTTCCCCTGTGCCACACATCTCTGTGTGATAAGGGACCATCCTCAGGTTCCCAAGTTCCAAGTCACAGACAAGTTTAGGGTCTGTGGGCTAAAATTAGACCCATGGAATTTTAGTATTGTTTAGCCCATTATTGTGTCAATTAACCTGAGCTCTGTGTCTGGCTGATGGTACACTCATCGTTACTAGGCAAACCTGCAGTTTTGCTGAACTACATTTCCAGTGTGAGTTCCTAGTCATGGGGCCGCGATTCGCACAGCCACCTTATTGATGCTCCAATCTATGTGCTTTTCTAGGTTCTCACAAGGTTTTTGGGTTCCTCCACCCCTGTCGTGTACTGGTTTCCAGCTCACCTGCTTCAGGATCAGGAGCCGCTGTTGCGATCCCTAGAGTCAGTGCCTTGGAAGCCTCTCCCAGAAGACTCCCCACCAGGACAAAAGGCCCCCAGAAATTGTATCATGAAACTCTTATACAACTGGAAAACCTGTTCTCCTATCACACGGTACATCCTAGGCTATTTTCTGACTTATTGGCTCCTGGGACTACTCCTACATTGTAACTTCCTGCCTTGGACATGACCTGGAGTCTCAAGGGACAAGCTGGAAGCTGGTTTATCCCATAGTCTGTCAGCTACAACACTGGCTGGGACTGCCTGCACTGCCCTGAGAGCTCTCCATTAGGACCCCCACTCTCTCTTCTCCCTTCTCTTTGGAGGCTAGTTAGGAATGGAAGATGCATGGGGCACAAGAGCCCCTTTTTGCCCTGGCCTGGACAAGAGCAGAAACTGTTTTCACTGTTAAGTGGAGATAACTTATTCAAGGTCTAAAATATACCTGGTCAACTAATAGCAGACAGTCTGAAATCCACCTACTCCTGTGCAAAGTTGAACTAAAGTGTTTCTCCCAAGGCTCTAGCTGACAGCCTGGTGATGTCTACTCAAGATGGCAGGGCAGCATGGGGACAGCTGGAGAATGGAACCATCTCTAAATGGGACATTGTTTCTGAAGGCTTTTTTATGGATATGTGCATTTATTTATATGAAAAATCTTACAAAAATGAAAATTTAGCAGGCGTGGTGTCTGGTAGTCCCAGCACTTGGGAGACAGAGGCAGGCAGATCTCTGTGAGTTCAAGGCCAGCCTGGTCTATACAGTGAATTCCAGGACAGCTGGGGCCACAGGGAGACCCTGCTTCAAAAAAGACAAAAAAAAAAAATGTTTTTTATGTTATGTGTATGAGTGTTGTGCCTACATGTGTGTAAGTGCACTTGTATTATGCAGTGTCCACAGAGGACAGAAGAGGGCCTCAGATCCCCTGGAACTGGAGTTAGGATGGTTGTTAGCTGCCATGTGGCTACTGGATTTGAACCCAGGTCTTCTGCAAGAACAGCCAGTACTCTTAACCACTGAGCCATCCCTCCAGTCCCATGATGAAAAAATTTTTAAATGTTTTATTATTTTTATTTTATATGTATGTGTTTTGCCTGCATGTATATAAATGCACCATGTACATGCAATGCCCACAGAGGCCAGAAGAGGGTGTTATCCCCTGGAACTGGAGTTATAGATGGTTGTTAGCCACCATGTAGGTGCTAGGAGTAGAACCCAGGTCCTCTGGAAGAACAGCAAGTGTTCTTAACCACTGAGCCATCTCTCTGACCCCAAAGATTAAAACTTTAAAATTTTATTTATTTATTTGTGTGTACACACATGTGGCAGTGCCCCCAGAGGCCAGAAGAAAGCATTAGATCCCCTGAAACTGGAGTTATATAGGCAGTTGTGAACTACCCAATGTGGGTGCTAGGAACTGAACTTGGATCTTGTAAGAACATCAAGTGCTGTGAGCTATCTCTCCAGCAACTTTTTCTTTATTTTGTTTGGTTTGGTGGTTTTGTTTTTTTTTTTTTTTTCCTGTAGTCCCAGTTGGCCTGGAACTCGCTATGTAAATCAGACTGTCATTGATCTCACAGACATCTGCCTGCCTCTGTCTCCTGAGTGCTAGGATTAAAATCCCAGCAGAGGCAGGTGGATCTCTGTGAGTTCAAGGCCAGCCTGGTCTTCATAGTGAGTTCCAGGCCAGCTGGGGCCACAGGGAGACCCTGTCTGAAAAAGACCCCCCCCCCAAAAAAAAAAGCCAGTTACCAGCTGTGCGACCTTAGGCTAGTTTCAGAGCCTTCAGTACATCTCTGAACTAGGGGAGATAATCTTACTCTTAAATCTTGAGGGCTGCCTTAACAGAGTTGTCCTGGTTTGAACACCCCAGCTCGAAGGTGAAGAGAGGAAACTCTCCATTCCTCCTTTGAGCAGTTAGAAGTAACTCCTCCTCCACCTCTGGCAACTCTGAAGAGTAACCACCTAGGGAAAGTGATTACGTTTGGTGGGTAAGACACCTTGCTGGCCAGGTAACCCACGATGAGCTGTTTTCCTGCCATTCTCGGGAGCTCATGCCTGATGGGTAGGCATGAATCTGGAGCTAGCACTGCAGCATGGATGGGAACATTGTAGGTAGGTAAGCCCAAGGTTGTCTAAAATAGCATCTGCCCTGCTTCCTGGCTCCCTTGTGGGTTATAAACCTATCACCAATGTAGCATCACCAACCCTGTTGAGTGTGGTGGCTCCCACCCGTAATCCCAACACTCAGGAGGCTGAGGCAGATGAGTGTGAAGGTAACTTGGGCTACAGAATGAAACAAACAAAACAAAACAAAACAAAAACGGCCTTGCTGAGACATTTCGTGCATCCTTGAGCCAGGTAAATCTGGCTCTGTGTCGTCATCCCTCGCACTCCCCATTGAGCCAGATTCCAATAAGCAGCACTCTTCAAAACAGATGGGTAATCAGCAGCAACTTCTGGAAAGCTGAGAGTTGGAATTTGGACACACTCCCTCCGACCGTGACAGAAAGCTCAACTTGCCAGCTGAAGGGAAGCTCCTGGCCGAGGCCCAGCACCCTCCGTGGGAGCCTCCAGCCAGCCTGGCCAATGAGCATTCCCACCCATCACCACAGCGCTAACACAGCCAAGCATTTGGTCCAGAGTCAGATGCTTCTGAAAATGTACACATAGATCAGGGCAGCCCTCTGCCTTCTGCCAAGACACCAAGTGCCCTTCTTGGCAATAGATGGATCACCTCTGCCCTAGTGTCCCTCCAGCTGGCAGAAACAGTGCCTCTCTCTTCACCAGCAGCTGAGAATCCAAGGATTTCCACCCCATGTGTGGGAGGAGCTGGGGTCCCCTTTCAGCCCTTTATTGCCAAACTAGGAGCACTAGATCCCCTGGTCTCTGCTCCTCTTCGCCTTCTCTTAGGGGCTGGCCAGAATGGATTGTTCCCCTCCTGGAAGAGGGGGCTCCCATCCCCACTGAGTTTGCTTTCATTGTTTTGTTACGCCCAGAAGCCCTACACCTGAGGACCCCTGCAGGTAGCCACACCTGGAGAAGGGTATGGGATTCTCTCTGACCTTGGACAGAGGGCTAGTTGCAATTCTCTAAGGATCTAAGGAATGGGCTGACTTTATGGCCAGCAGCTGTCCTTTTGCCAGCCTATTAACAGCCTCTAATAGTTTTCGAGAGGGACATGGAGAGGGACATGAAGGGCCGGAGGCAGGAAGCTTCCTGTTTACCTTGAGGCCTAACAATGCCACAGCTGGGTTAGGTGTCCACAGTTTCAGAGAAGTCATTTCCTTCTCAGAGCCCGCTAAAACAAACCAGACCCTTGTTCTACCTGGGGGTTGGTGCCTTTTCGTTCTTTAATGAAGGTGGGAGGACAGGAAGTGTTTGACATGTCTTTACCAGTCCCTCTGAGGTGGGCTGGGGTGGTGGGGTAGGTTCTTGGACAGACCCTCTGGCCTTCGTCTAAAAATGTAAACTATGCAGGCTTAAAAGATGTTTAATTGATTCTCAGCTGTTAATGCCTACTTCGGACTAAGGAAGACTCATCTATGCCTCAGGGCTTCAGATGTCTATAGTGAGTCACTATCCAGTACACAGAAACATTAATTAGGAAAGTGGTAGTTCTTTTTTGTTTTGTTTTTATGTAGCCCTGTTTAAATCTAGGCCACGTGCTTATATAAGGCTGTAGGGCCAGCTTCAGCATGTACTCCCTCCTTTACGACCATCAAGACCAGTGTTGAGATCTGATGGGAAAGGGAACCAGAGAGCGGTAACATTTAGTGTGTGTGTACACATGCACACGTCATGGCCCACTCTGGGGAGCTGGTTCTCTCCTTCCACCATGTGAGCCTTAGGGATCAAACTTGGGTCATCATGCCGGTGGTAAGTTTCTTTATCTTCTAAACCATCTTACTGGCCCAGATGTGGTCAAGTCTGAGAAGTACCCTTAAGTTTCTTATTCTCTATCCTGCAACTTGAATTTTTTTATAATGAAGATGAATTAAAATTTTAACTGGGTCGGGTGTGGTGGCGCACGCCTTTAATTCCAGCACTTGGGAGGCAGAGACAGGCGGATCTCTGTGAGTTCAAGGTCAGCCTGGTCTACATAGTGAGTTCCAGGACAGCTGGGGCTACAGGGAGACCCTGTCTCAAAAAAAACAAAAAAAAAAAGAAAAAAAAATTTTTTTTTAACTGAAGACTGAGTTGTGGTGGTGCACACTTATACTATTACTTGTGTTTGTGAGGCTGAACATGAAGATTTTAAGTTTAAGACCAGCTTGGGCTACATGACATGACCCTATGTCAAAAAAAAAAGTTTTAATTATATATTTAGAAAACTGTAAATATGGTACAAAGCAAGTACTCTGAATTCCCATAAAGAACAGATTTCTCCCAGCTTGAAACACCTGAAAAGATTTGGTGGAAAAATAGTTGAGATAGAGTTTGTTTTATTTTTTGTGTTAATTTTTTTTGGGGGGGATCTCCCTGGAAACCTAGAACTCACTATGTAGACCAGGCTGGCCTTGAACTCACAGAGATCTACCTGCCTCTGCCTCCCAAGTGCTGAGATTAAAGCCATGTGCCACCAGCACTGGCTTTTTTGTGTTAATTTTTGTTTTTTAGGTTGACTTTTGTTTTTCAGATTTTTTTTTTTTTTTTTTTTTTTTTTTTTTTTTTTTTTTTTTTTTTTATCTTTTTGAGACAGGGTCTCCCTGTAGCTTCAGCTATCCTGGAACTCACTATGTAGACCAGGCTGGCCTTGAATTCAGAGAGATCCGCCCGCCTGCCTCTGCCTCCCGAGTGCTGGGATTAAAGGCTTACACCACCATGCCGGCAGAATTTTTTTTTAATGACCTTGAATTTTTTTTTTTTAATGGCTTCCTCAGCCTCCTGTTGACCTATACTTTAAACGATAGAATTTAAAGGTTAAAAGTAGTAGAGATGGGGGGCTGGAGAGATGGCTCAGTTGTTAAGAGCATGTACTGCTCTTCCAGAGTACCCAAGTTCAGTTCCAAACACCCATTTTGGGCACCTCACAACCATCTGTAACTCCGGCTCTAGGAGATCCAATGCCTTCTCGACTCCACAGAAACCTATATTCACACAGGCACATTCTAACACAAAGACATACACATAATTTAAAATAAAAAAATAAATAAATCTTGAGGCTGGAAAGATGGCTTAGTGATTAAGAGCACTTGCTGCCCTTCCAGAGGACTGGCATTTGGTTCCCAGCATCCCACATCAGGTAGCTCCCAATGGCCTGTAACTCCACTTCCAGGGGATCTGACATCCTCCTTTAGCCCCCATAGGTACCTATGTGTATGTGGCATATAGACACACAGAAGAATAAAATCTTCTAAAAAATGTAAAGCAAGCAAACAAGTGTGTGTGTGTGTGTGTGTGTGTGTGTGTGTGTATATATA